GATCAAATAACTGCAACCTTGGTGAGCATAAGGGACTTTATAAACCTTGCCAACCCAAAACTTTTGAATGGTAATATGATATAAGCTTAGTAGTAATTGAGTCTCTCTCATTTAGCTTGAGAAGAAGCTGAAGGCTGAGATTGAACAGTGGGAACATGAACAGAACAGAGAGTTTCAGGTGAATGGTCAAAAGTTCATGCAGTTTGTTACTGATCAATGGGAGTCGTACCGGCTGGAGAAGGAGCGGGAAAAACAGGAGCGGGTATGTGTGTATTTCACTTTACTGGGCATTGGAATATACGTGTATTCTAGAGCTGTGAATTAAGTGTGATTTTGATGCATTAACCCAAGAATAGTTGAAAACCATGAGAAAGATTTAACTGATAGATTTTAATAATACAAGAACTTTCTTGCAGCAACTAAAGAAGAGCAAACAGACAGAGGTGGACATGGTCTATGGTACTGTGATCTGGACACCGACTAAACGAAGATTTCTGGGAAGCACAACACCTTGTAAAGCTCGAAAGGCAAGTACAAAAGGATTTTATTTCCTGATGAAGACAGCATATTTAAAGTCAACGTGGAACCCTCGCAGCCCATTTTACATGTAATGTGTCTAATTTGTGAGTGAAAACAAGTATAAGAGTAGAAAACATGCAAGGCAGGACTTGATCTATTTAATGTTTTATCCATTGGGAATTGACTGGGTTGTGAAAAGTTCATGTTGATTTTATTCTCATTACACACCTTGATGCACAATACATTTTAAATGAATGCATGGCTGTTGCAGTATTAACTCTGGCTTTTCCTCAGCTAAACGCTACCTCCAGTACTGGCACTTCTAACAGCACTATCCGATCTGTCTTTGGTGGTACTGTCTGCCATTCTCCTATATCGCGCCCTCCGATTTCAGCAATCAAGGTCAGTGCATGCCACGGCCATAACAAAACTATTGTACTCAAGCTTAACTAATTTGCTCAATCCTTTACTGATTAACTAAGTTAATGTGTTACATCTTCCCTTACGTGTCTTTTTTCAAAGCAGGGTAATGTGAGGACTCCAGGCCACGGCAAACCTCCTCATCAAGGTTTGCAAGAACGCAGTAAGGAGAATATCTGTCATCTAACTGGTGGCGTGGCTGGGATAACAAAGGTGCCAGCTAGTCCACAGCGTAACTTCAGCATTAACTCTGTCGCAAGCACCTATTCAGAATTTCAGGTAAACTCTTCATCTTCTCCATCAGTAACTCACAGTCTGGACAAAGAGAGCAAGAGCTTGAACTGAATTGTGTTTTAAAGGAATAGCTCGCCCAAAAATTACAATTTGCTGAAAATTTAATCACCCTCAGGTCATCCAAGATGTAGATGGCTTTGTTTCTTTATCAGAACTGATTTGGTAAAAAATGTGAGAGTCCAAAGAGCTGATAAAATCACTATAATCCACAAGTAATCCACATAAATCCAGGCAATCAATTGACATCTAACATGAAAAAGATGTGTGTAATAAACAAATCCATCATTAAGATGTTTTTAACTTGAAACTTGCTAAAATACAAGTCCTTTATTATCTATAATATTGGTTTCTCCAGTTAAAAAGTCGTCTCATCTGAATCAGGAAAGAAATATGCACCCTTTTCAAGAGACAACAGTTCTAAACAAGATGTATCTGTGGATTTTGATGTCAGAGGACAACAGGGGATGGACTCGAGGAAGCGTTATTGTGGATTATAAACTTTTATTTTTTACCAGAAGTGACAGTTTAAAGTTAAAATGTGTAAATGGATTTGTTTTTTGCAACCATGCAGCTTTTCATTTCACAAGATGTTAATTGATGGTCTGGAGTGGATTATTGTGATGTTTTTATCAGCTGTTTGAACTCTCATTCTGAGGGCACCCGTTCACTGCAGAGGATCCATTGGTGAGCAAGTGATGTTCCCATGAAGAAACAAACTCAGCTACATCTTGAATGGCCTGGTGGTGAATGAATTTTCAGCAAATGTTCATTTTTATGAGTGAACTATTCCTTTAATGATACGAGCATATAAATACCTATTTAAAAATTGGTGATACTGGCATAATGTTATGCTAATAAAATAAAAAATTGTTTCTAAAGGAAGTTGTCAAACCTGAATCCATATAATCAAGGTGTGTTAGAGATTTATTTCCAAATAGCCTAAAGTTTGCCTATTTAACGGTATGGTTAAGCACACTGCTTAAACACCCTAGCTAACACTGTTTTAACTGTTTATGTTTTACTGTATAATAAAACTAACACTTTTATGTATTTTACTAAACACTTTTATAAAGTATGTAGAAATAATGCATAGTCAGATGGTAGTTATTGAAATAACCCCTTGGGGTCTTTAAGACAGGCAGGGTCCTGTATTTAGAAGAAATTATTGGCTGACTGTACATTGTTACATGAATACTTAACAAATAATATCTAATATATTTACATTCTCACTTGAATTTTTATTTGAACACTAGGCAGGTGGGACAAGTTCATTCAAGTTTTCATTCACCTCTGAAGGCATTTGTGGTGCATGTATTATATCTGATTAGTTGCTCTTTTACATCCTCTTGGCCTCTCTTTGTACTGGACTGCTTTTTACCCCCTAATTCACACTTCTAACCAAGACTATCTCTATTTATTTATAATTCAGGTAATGCCTGTTTTGTATTGTTTTGAATTGTATTCTAGGCTGTAAATATATCCAGTATATATTATGTATAACCTCATTGTTCAAAGTTCAGAAACATATTTACAAGTCAAAATGTCTCTTAATCTGTCATTTTCTTGTCACAGCGAGACCTCTCCAAGTCATCTAAATCAAAACATGTACCTGAAATCCTGAACTCAACCATCATTCAGTTTTAACTCTACTGCATGCAACACTTTGTGCTATTAGGACTGGAATCTTTAGATGATGGCTTATGGGCTCGTTCTTTATAGCTATAGCTATGCATTTTTATATGTAAATGAAGGTAATATATATTTAAATGTCTCTGAGGTATTCTACATGTATGTTCACTTTAACACTGAAATCCTGAACTCAACCATCATTCAGCTTTAACTCTACTGCATGCAACACTTTGTGCTATTAGGACTGGAATCTTTAGATGATGGCTTATGGGCTCTTGTTCTTTATAGCTATAGCTATGCATTTTTATATGTAAATGAAGGTAATATATATTTAAATGTCTCTGAGGTATTCTACATGTATGTTCACTTTAACACTAGGACAAGCACTGCATTTTCAGTACTTGTAATGTAACAAATGCATGTACATTTTAATGTTACAACTGTTCAGTTGTCCCTAACAAATTAAGACTTTTTAAAAACTAAATAAATTCTAGTTATTTCTCAGTATTGGTAATTTTGTCAAAATCACAATGTATTTTATGGTATGCTTTTGAATGTTTTGCACAATGTAAAATACTTTATTTCATTCTTTAAAGTATTGTACAATTCACTACATAAAAGTTCACTTTTGAACATTCTGTGAGTCCTGTCATTATCCTAGTCGAACTATTTCTTCTGTCACTAATATCTAAGATGTTTGAATCTTGAATTCTGTTTTATTCCAAACAAGTTGCTATTTTATTTATCTATTTATGCAGTTATATTCCTCAAGCATGTAAATTCACATCCAGTTGTTGCTCTTACTTAGCAATTTGTTAGCAAGTTACATTACAAACAGCATATTTAAATAACGGATAATAATAATGGAGCCACTGTAATAGAAGGTCTTACTATTACTATGACTTCTCTACTCTACATATCTTTCTTTTTAAGCACAAATTGATTGATTGAAAAAGAAACTAATAGGAGTCTTAAAAACCTTTATTGATTTTAAACAAGTATATTTACAGAAGAAGAAAAAAATCTGCAGTTATTTGTAAAACATGCTTTTTGCTTTCACCGATTAAAATAATTATAAACAATCTTATGTATTGTCGCGTATGTAAATGTAAACGTACAAATATAAACCCCAACGTTTTGCTAACTGAATTAAGAGGGTACATTATATTACATAGTCTCTACATTGTTTTGACTTCTTAAAATGCTTGTATGATGCGTGTATGATTGAGTTGTACATGTAATTATATATCTGGCTTTATTAACTTTTTGCTATTCTTGGTTTTTAATATGTCAGTCATTCTTGAGACATGGGACAAAACAGGTCCAGCAAGGGTAACTGCTATTAGGTTTAAATATAAAAATATTTTCAATTTTAAGTGTCATGAGGGATTAATAATAGAATGTATTTAACACAATTATCACCTTCAATTTAATTTTCTCATTATTATACCAAATCTGTGTTTCTTAATGTCCTCTCACTACATCTAAAACAGTGTGTCCACAGAGAAGGGTTCAATCATTCATATGCAATAAAATGGATAAAAAAAAAAATTTTAATGATGAAAAAGAGCTTGTTTTATCAAAAGCAACACTTAATAATATCTCCTATCAAAGCAAGGTTGTTTTTTAATGACATGCATGTTTAATAAGATTTTAAAGTTGCGTCCCCACTTTTTGTCAACACCGTCAGACATTCAATAAAATGTAATAAAATCAGGGAATATCAGGGGCAGCTGTCACTCTAAAGGACCCCCTTGCCACAGTTCACCTCTGCAGAGTACATCAGTGTCAGACAGGCTCTGCTAAGTTTTATAGTTTTAGAATATTTTTTTTGTCCCACTTCTCAAGAATGACTGATTGTTATAAAATGTTGTTGCTCTCTGAATAAAAAAAACAAGAGATTAAACCAGAAGACCTTGACTAACATATAGCAAGTTAAGTTTGAAACAAAATCGTTTTACTGAAATGGCATAACATTGGTGATTTTTTTATTTATTTATTTTATTGTTATGATGATATATTCTCTAATAACTGTGGGAAATTAAAAATCAATGTGGCGAATGTTTGGGTTATGCGGGGAGGCGGGGTCACTTGGGTAACCCGGAAGCAGATTGTGGTGAATGACGCGAACCTTTAGGGTCGAATGGGCAGACGGTAAAAGATGGCGGATGACAAGAGCAAGATCACAGGCAATCATTCTACTAATAAACGGTTCTGGAGCCCTTCCGTCCGAGGACCGGCGTTCATGTTTATCTGTATACTGCTGGTGGAGTCCGCGCGAGCCACCACGCACTGGGTGGTGACGGAGGACGGCAAAATCCAACAGCAGGTACGAGACTGTCGTGTTTAGTCACTCCACTGTGACAAGATATTGACAGTTCTCAGCAGTAGCTTTCTAATCGGATTGTGCCTCACTGACACTGCTTTATACAGCTGTCAGACAGATGCGTGTGTCGATCTCATGTGTTGACAGCTGTTGTCTGCTGCTTATAACGATATAACAGCGCACTAGTGTGTGGTGATTCAATACTACTGGCCAAATCATCAGCCTGATTTGGCTTCTTGATGTCTTCTAACCTCTGACCTGATATCTGTCAGGCAGTGACTCTTGCTCAAAGCATGTGCGTGCGCATTGATTTGGCCTTTTTCATGCTCCCTCTCGTTTTCAGGTGGATTCTCCTCTTAACTTGAAACATCCCCACCATTTAGTTCTTTTCATGCAACAGGAGACTCGTGTGAACTACCTCAAGAAGTTAGAGGTGATGCTATGCCTCACATTCATCATGACATAATCTTTTACAGTGAATTTTGTCTTGAAGAAGGCAGCTCTAGAGGTAAAGGTATGCTTCCCTGAACACTTGTCTGACAGTGAGTTATTGTACATTTTGCAGAAGCAACTAGTTGCTCAGAAGATTCACATTGAAGAGAACGAGGACAGGGATACTGGTTTAGAGCAGCGACACTATAAAGAAGATGCTGACTGTGTCACAGCTAAAGTTCCTCTGGGAGACTTGGATCTCTATGATGGCACTTTTATATACCTGGAGAGCAAAGACATAAAGTAAGTGGTGTTTGCTTATGGAAGAAATATGTTTCCTTGTGTTTTTTTATATGTATTGATCATTTCAGTTGTCATTGTAGAATATGCCATTCTGGTTTTATTGTTGTTGTTTTCTAGTCCAGAGGATTTTTTGGATCAGATGTCACCTCTACCTCCAGACCTGGAAAAACCTGACTGCGCTAAAATCCTCGACCTTCCTTATAGCATTCATGCGTTTCAGCACCTCAGGGTGAGTGTTTTGAGTGCTTTAAGCTGCACCCATACATACACTATTGGTCAAAAGATTTTAAATGTTTTTTAAGAAGTCTTTAATGCTCATCAAGCCTGCATTTATTTGATCAAAAATACAGTAAAACAGTAATATCGTGAAATATTATTACAGTTTAAAATACTGTTTTTCTATTTGAATATATTTTAAATGTAATTTATACCTGTGGTAAAGCTGAATTTTCAGCAGCCTTTACTCCAGTCTTCATGATCTTTCAGAAATCATTCTCATATGCTGATTTATATACATTTATTATTAAATAAATGCAGCCTTAGTGAACATAAGAAACTGCTTTCAAAAACATTAAAGATACTATCATAATTATTCCAAATGAATATGAGCTTGCAGCACAGGGTGTAAGCAGACTAAATGATTGAAGAAGTTCTTCATGTGCCACAAAAGAAGTCTGCCGTTTTCACTAGAAGGTCCAGTTATGCCATTTTGGTTAACCATTATGAGGTCAAAACATTAAAAAAAATGAAGCATGCACAGATGAATTAGTTACAATAAGATCTATAAGGTGAATTTTCATTTCATGCCAACTTGTCTCTCGAACATGGGCTCATTGTCTTTTTGCTCATTGGTTTTTCCCTCTCAGGGTGTACAAGAAAAGGTAAACTTAACATCACCCTTGGTTTCAAAGGATGACCCAATCTTTACCTCCCTGTCTCTTAAGCTGGGACAGAGTGTGGATGAGGTTGGGCATCGGATACACGAGGCACTTCTAAGCGTAAGTTGATTTGCTTTATTTATAAAGTTCTGGGTTCTCACAGTCATGGAAAACCTTGAAATGTTGCAGTTGTGATTTCTAGACCTGGAAAAGTCTGGTATTTTTTATAGTTACTGGAAATCTTTGTAGTTATGTTCTCCTCTAAAATAATATTATTGTGCTTTATAAGATGCAACCCAGCATCAATATGCACAACAGGGAACTTTATTAGAAACATAAGAAACTTTTTTAGCTTTGAGTCACAAAGGCGCCTTTGTGACTCAAAGCTAATACATTTTTATGGCACAGTCATAAAGTGCTTTACTTTGAGCATCTTTGCTTAGAAAGCTGAGTCCTTCTTCTAACCACAGTAAATGTTAGGAATTTTTAAGGATGCATGATATATCAGTACCATACTTTTTAACAGACTGTATTAGAGTTTTTATTTATATCAGTTTCTGTTAATATTGGGAATATTGACTAATATTAGATATTTAATTCATGCTCATTTCCCCTATTTTTACATTTAAATTACTTTTGCCATAATCTAATGGTCAGTTAAAGTTAATTTTTAATAACACTAATCACTTAATAACACTGTTAAAGGTCATCTTAGCAAATCTCAAAATTAATATCCATTTTTTTTACTGTACAGTATAATGATATGATGTAGCATTTAAAGTGATTCATTTTGTGTTTTTCTTTTTTAATCTATTTAGACAAAATAGTATTTTGATATTGGCCATGTATCAGCATAATTTTTGTGTCTAATTGAAGATATTAATAAGAATAATTGTTTTCATTTATTAATACCTAGGATCGGTACGGTACCTGACATAAAAATGTCATTTAAGTAGTTGTGTACTCACGATTAACTGGAAAAGAATTAAGATTTATTAGTGGGAATGCGTGGGAACTTCGTTTTCCTTTATGGTTCAGTTTTTAAAGGCTTGTAGATAAAGCAGAAGTCAGCTGGAAATGTAATTTCTTAAGATTAACGATGTCTTTTTCTCACTTTCTAAGAATTCTTCTTCATGGGTGCTTTATAACTTGGCCTCCTTCTACTGGCGGATGAAGAATGAACCCAGGCGAGCTGTGGACTGTGTGGTCCGTGCTCTCCATTTTTCTCCAAGGTAAAGTGAAATGACACATGGATACAAATAGCAGATGGATAGTGGGCATAGCATATCTACAGAGAAATCAGTGTTTCGATCACCTGCACAAAGACTTGCATAAGTTGTGTCAACTTGTTTTACATACATTTGCATGTACTTGTTCTCTTATTGCAGGCAGCACAAAGATGTTGCTCTTATCAATATGGCAAACATACTTCACAGAGCACACTTCTCGGCTGACGCCGCCATTCTCGCCCACGCTGCTCTGGATCTCACCACTGATCTCCTAACCAGCCATTACACCCTGGGCAACATTTACGCTGTGAGTGCAGCGCATTGAAGAAGCGGGATGGTTTCTGAAAATACATTTTTAAGATGTTTTTGAACTTCCTCTGTGCACATGCAGTTTCTGCTGGACAGGAAATGGCAGTTTTTCTTTAGTATCTGATTTCCTTGTTTATATCGAATGACACTCACTTGCTTGTTGCATCTCTTTCCCTTCCTCCTGTCTCTCTGGTAGATGTTGGGGGAGTATAATCACTCCGTGCTGTGCTATGAGCAGGCTCTGCAGGCTCAGCCGGGCTTTGAGCAGGCCCTGAGGAGGAAACATGCCGTCCTCTGTCAGCAGAAGCTGGAGCAGCGGCTTGAGGCTCAACACCGGTAGCACAGACCATTTGTTTTCTCATTGACTGTTGTGATTTTTTCTCTCTTTTTCTGTGCAATTACTCTGTGTCTCATTAAGAAACCATCTGAGTATGGAGTAGCCTTTTTCCTGGTATTGAGTGGGTCTTGTTCTTTCTTTGATGGCGTATTTCTGCGGAGAACTTCCCCTTTGCTCTATTTATGATGAGGAATTCATTATGGATCATTGCAGGGGTCTTCAACAGTATTGTACTATAGGAGGGCTGCCAGTTATGTAGTTTGTTCTCAAACTAATTTTATGTGAAAGAAGAAAAATGCATTAAACAAAATACATCAAGATAAGACGCTACAATTCAGCTGCATGTGTCATTGTGCCTCCCACATTGAAATATATTTAGTTAAAATAAAATGTACAAGTAAATGACTGAATACTAAAAATAGCTATTTCATTGGCTTTGCAATGCATGTAAGCATCATTTGAAAGAAATTTTATTCAAAAATAAATGTTTTATTCAGCAAGGATGCATTCAAATGATCAAACATGACTGTAAAGACATTTATTGTTACAAAAGATTTCTATTTTAAATAAATACAGTTTTTTCTAACTTTCTGTCCTTTGAAAATCCTGGGGAAAAAGACACTATTGTGGTTTTCACTAGAGCCCGACCGATATGGGTTTTTTGGGGCCGATACCGATATTAGGGAGTAAAAAAAGGCCGCTACCGATATATCGGCCGATATTCTTTGTGTATATTATAGTACAATACCAGTCAAAAGTTTGGACACTTTCCCATTCGTGTGTCCAAACATTTGACTGGTACTATATATAGAATACAGTATATACATAAACATTCGGGGGATCCCTTCAGTTCGAGGAGCCCTCTTGAATGCCACCCTCCTGGGTCCTAAGTTATTGAGATTTATTTTCTGACTATAGCAAACATTTTTTTGGACAAAAAAGAGAACCACAAAAATGTTATATTAAATTAAAGGATGTTGTTTTCACACTAGAGGTTTGATTGCACCTAAAGTTTGATTTGTTTCATGTGAAAGTCGACTTACAAACTAAGAACCACACTTCATGTGGTAAACGCAAAGTGAAGTGCTATTGTACATGTATATTTGGTGATATTGTGTAAACACTGACCCAAAATGTTAACAATATTTTGGTAGTTACACCAGATAAACAAATTCCAAGCAAAATGTCCAATGCTCTCTAGTTGTAACATTCAGACTTAAGCATTTGTGACGATAAATATCTTGCAGTTGTTCTGTTGATGATAAGGAAGAAGACACAAATTAATCTTTGAGTTTGTGCTCAAAAAAGGCATAGTGCAAGGTGCGAAATCAACATGCATCCTCCCTCACTCTTTGTCCAGGTCTTTGCAGCGCACCCTGAATGAACTGAAGGAGTACCAGAAGCAGCATGATCATTATCTGCGACAGCAGGAGATGCTGGACAAGCACAGGCTCATTCAGGAGGAGCAGATCCTGCGAAATATCATCCACGAGACCCAGATGGCTAAAGAAGCTCAACTCGGTTAGACTGCTTGTTTTACCTTTCAACTCCAGTCATACGGTTTCTTTAAAATAGACCCACAAACTCAAGGTCCTAAAAAAATTATATTGTGCAGTATACTGGATAAAGTTTCGCAAGCCTGCCAGATCTTGTTGGCGCCATGTTTGTTCGCTTCCACTGTTGTGCATATGAATGCGTATAACAGGATTTCAATGGTGTGTTTTAGGAAATCACCAGATGTGTCATATAGGCCAACAGAAGTTCACCCTGCACTGCCCGTTTGACTTGCCTGTGCGGTATCACCGTGGAGAACTGTTTGAAAATGTCCACTACATTCAGGTGAAACTGCAAACACACTATTTGAATTATTTTGCTTTCTGTGTGTTAATAATGAGACTAAATATTGAAGCAGTTTAGAATAAAAAAATACATTTTACTTGATTTCTACACAACTTGAAAAAAGTATATTCATTATTTAAATGCTTAATGGAGTTTCAAGAATGTATTACTTTACATGACTTTTGCTTGACTAGAAAAAAAAACACTTAACGTGTGAATTACAGAAGTTTACAGAGGCCCTCAGGTTAGTGGACCCTGGCCCTCTGGTTGAGAGAATCACTGGTCTGTATTAATGCCGGTTCATGAATTTCAGTGGACAAGCAGTGTTTCATGAGTGTTTTGTGTAACAACAGTGGAACATATTAATGTTTGTGCCCACGTGTCACTTTACCCTACTTTGACTGCTTGCAAAACTATTTTTGTAGGCGGAGAAAAATTATTAACTGAGTAGTTGAAACGAACTTGTTTATAAACCGGTTGTATGAAAACATTACTTTACACACAATAATGTTGTTGATATTCAGTATAACAGCACTCCTCTTTGCTAGATTTCTTAAGTGTCAATCAATCTCCTCTTTTTCTGACGTGTGTGTGTGCGTGCATGTGTATTTGCTTGTAGTTTGGTGAGGAAGTGTCAATAGCCAGCAGTGTTGCTCTGGTGTCCGAGTTGAGTGTGAATGAGAGTCTCAGTCCTCAGCAGTCCTACACCATGTCCTTAGGATGGGAACCTGCAGCTCACTGGGACAAGGAGACAACCTCCACTGATGTAAGAGTGTGGTTAATTTTTTTTTCTTATTGTTAGCTGTAAACAACGGACTTAGCCTACATTTTAAATTAACACAAATGCATAAGAAGGAGTTGTGTTGAACTTTGTCAATGATGATTGAATGATTCCCCTTGTGAAGTTCAGCGGGCACAGATTCCATGTTGGACTAATTATTGGCATATTTATGGCCTGTATTTTTTTGTGGCATATTTTTACCTGCATATGGCATATTTTTTATATACAGTATTTTAGAACACAATGTAAACTTGTGTTCATGCGATGTTCGAATTATCATAATTATGGGATTCTGACTTTAAAACATGTTCATATCCTAGTCGAACTCGTTATTAAAACGTTTTGAATTATACAAGTGTTCTGATTTATACCACCTGACCATTGCAATGAAAACACTCAAAATGGTGGAAGGTTTAGACATAAAATGTAGCCCAACTTGGAATATTTCTGTTTAATAATTTCGAAAAATCATGCAAGCATAATCTTAAAAATAATATGATTAAAATAACATGTAGCTAGCATGGAGTTAGATAACTAATGTCTAATTTCCTGCTAAATATGATAAATGCAGTAACATTTTATCAATAAGGCATTTGCATAACAACTTTTACTTTTTTTTTTTGTGGTTTTGTCTATTGATTACTCAAATTACACAGATTCATTTTGACATTAATAGTTTTGCCACAGGAATGGATCATTTCTGTATTATCTATATTATCCTGCATATTTGCACTAGAAGTCACATTCTGTTTGTTGTATGTGAACAGGAAAGTCATACGGTGCTGTGGCCCAGGAGGTCAGACTGTGCACAACGATTCCCCACAATTCCCCCTGTGCACCTACTTCCCACCTATTACCTGCCCCCCGAGTCCCACAACTTTAAGTAAGACATGTGGCACTGTGACATGCACATTATGTTACATACAGTTTACAGCAGGGGTGTCCAAACTTTTCCTAAAGGGGGCCAGATTCGACGATGTGGAAAAATGGTCCGTGCAGCGCGGTTCAAACGAGTCGCGCTCTTCCGCTTTTGACGCGTTTAGGAATTCGCGTGCGCTAAAGAAATGAGAGCGCATATGAGTTATCAAATTGATATCACTCACGTTTTACTGCTACATCTGGTCTAAAATTTAGTGCTGCCATCTTGTGTTGACATTTTGAAACTGCATAGGCCTATTTTGTAAATTATGCTTGGCGGGCCATATATAAGACTATTAAGACAGCTGCGGGCCGCTTAAAATTAATCCGCGGGCCGTAGTTTGGACACCCCTGGTTTACAGTCACAGACTCACAGACTTGGCGTACAGTTACTCAACCCTTCTACATGTAACATGTATGCTTGTTATTTTTGTCATGTTACTAGGGCTCTGAATATTCTCTTGGAGAGCAAAAGTCCTCCACCATCATCAAAGATGCCGGATTGCAGCTTAAAGAATCTTGTCACCGCTAGAGACCCACTGGAGTCTATGGCCTGGGCATTAGAGAAGGAGATGCTTGACCCACATGCTGCAGAGGTATGAGCTAGCTTACTCAATATTGTCAGTCTGAAGGAGTTCTGTACCACACCCTTAGCCTACCTGTGCTATTTGTGCAGGTAGATGAAGCAGAGAGCGCTATTTAGTATGTGGGAGTGTTGTGTTTTCTCGGGTGAGTCATTCTGTGTGTGTGTGTGTGTGTGTGTGTGTGTGTGTGTGTGTGTGTGTGTTTTATGCAGGTGTTGCTGAAGCGCAGTGGTGGGAGGAGTTTGGAGCAAACTGGAGCACTGATTGCTCAGGCGCTGGACAAGGTAAAAGAATAATGTGGCTCATGTTGAGTACATTAACAATTGCACTGTTTGCTCTTTGTAGATAATTGAGGACCAAATTATGTGAATTGCAAATTGAAGGTTTTAATTGGTAAGATTCTAAAAATTGAGTCAGCTGATTAAAAACTTGACTAATTATGTAAGAATGGATAGTGTTAGTCTTATGGAAATATGAAGAAGTGGAAAATACAGATGGAACTGATGAATCAAATTTGTATGTAAAAGTATTAGAAATACTCTTATGCCATTCCACACCCATATGCTGCTTATAATAGGGCTGCAACAAACGATTATTTTGATGATCGATTAAGATCTACCGATTATTGGAGCGATTAACCGACTTATCATCGATTATTTCACTCATTAATAAGTAGACTTTGATTGATTATTCAGCTTTTGCAGTTAGTTAAGATATTGAGCTATATATATTCTAACAAATAAATAAAGGTAAGCACTTCAGCTTTTGAAAGTCATATTATGTAATTACAACTATACAATTAATTTATACAAATGAATATATTTGGCACACAAAATGAGATGACAGAGAAACTCTCTCATTCACCATTTAATCAGCTGAATGAAAAAGTAACTGAATGGCATCATTCTGCCTAACATCTCCTTCTGTAAGTCGTGGATAAGAAACAAAATAAAGGTGAGTGATGAGACGCTTTATTTTTGGATAAACTATTTTTATTCACAACATAATCTCTCTTAAAATACAGTATAGGGTTATGATAATCAAAACAGTCCTGAGTTAGATTAAGCTTTGATCTCTGCAAACCAAACTATCACTTTAATGACATAATATTTTTTTTCCACTAATAAAAAGATTTTATCATTAGCTAGCTCCACACTGGAGAGCTGCTTTAATAATAATAATAATGTTGTAATTTTGTTCAAATTTTAACTGAGCGACACTGACGTTGGTTTTTCATGTTTAATACTGTAAAGCTGCTTGATTTAAGGCTATCTATTGCATAAAGTACTATATAAATAAATGTGACGTGACTGGACTTTACTGGCGTACCGAAATGCAGAGCTCATGCAAACATCCACATCGCTGTAATCAGATCAGTATAGGGTTATGATAATCAAAACAGTCCTGAGTTAGATTAAGCTTTGATCTCTGCAAACCAAACTATCACTTTAATGACATAATATTTTTTTTCCACTAATAAAAAGATTTTATCATTAGCTAGCTCCACACTGGAGAGCTGCTTTAATAATAATAATAATTTAATAATTTATGCATTTAGCAGACGCTTTTATCCAAAGCGACTTACAGAACAATTCAGGCTATACATTTTTTTACCAGTATGTGTGTTCCCTGGGAATCGAACCCACAACCTTTTGCGCTGCTAACGCAATGCCCTGCCACTGAGCCACAGGAACGCTTTATAATAGAAATTCAGTTTGTGACAAGTGACACTGACTCTGGTTTTTCATGTTTAATACTGTAAAGCTGCTTGATTTAAGGCTATCTATTGCATAAACTACTATATAAATAAACGTGACATGACTGGACTTTACTGGAGTGCCGAACTTCAGAGCTTGTGCAAACATCCACATCGCTGTAATCAGATGCTTTCTTAACTGCTGCTTTCCCACCGCGGTCAGTTTTTGTTGTGTTTATTTCATTATTTAGAGGAAAGCGCGCAGCATTTATTTACATATTCTACCAAACGCCGCTCAACAGCTTCAGATTCGGCTGCGTTTGCTCTGAAGCGCTGTGTCTTCTTCTCTTGAATTGCATCAGGAGAGCTGAATTACAGTCTTTCGCTACAGCGCCACACTGGTCAAACCACATTACTACCGGCTCTTTCATTAGGTCACATGAGATCAAACGACTTCTCGAATTTTTTATTGTCGACGTTGCCAATAATGTCGACTAATCGTTTCAGCCCTAGTTTATATAAATGTTTAAGTATATATATTTTTTAAGAATAAATATATATTTTTTCTATGCAATGATAGTTCATAGTGACTATTGAATGTTAAGCTCAGAAAAGGACAAAAAAGCACTATAAATGCACTATAAAAGTAGTCATAATGACTTGTGTGCTATAGTTCAAATAATATAAAGTGTTCTGAAGCCATATGATAGTTTTGTGTAAGAAATAGACCCAAATGTAGGACATTATTCACTGATAATCATTATCTCTGCTGCAGCACAAGAGTGGCTTTCAAATCATACACATATTCATGTGATGTCAAAGCTGAAATCAGCAGCCATTACTCTACTCTTAGAAATAGAAATCTTTTGTAAAAGTTTTTACTGGCACTTTTGATCAGTTTAATGCGTCTTTGCTGAATAAAAATGTTTATTTCTTTCCAAAAAAAATAAAAATAAAATGTTGGCCCAAACAGTGGTGGTGTAGATGGTGCAGGTCGGTGCAATGGTGCTTTTATAGTGCTGATTTGGCCTTTTAGGATCTAAATAGCACATGGTCACTGTCATGACAATCATTTCTATGTGAAGATTCTTTAGAAATTATTTTTGTGTATGTGTTTCTCTGAAAATATATTGCAACTTAATGAGGGTGAGTAAAAAAAGTGACAGATGTTTCATTTTTGTTTGGGAAATTGTTAGCTGCTTAAAATTTTTTGTCAGATTGTCTGCTTGAAACATTTTTATATAAAACTAGGATCGTGATAGTAAAAAACTAAAGCTTTAAAAGAAGATCAAATGGGAAATCTCTTTCTCTCAGATGAGTGGGCCACGTTGGATGATGCAGAATGAAGCAGGTCTTTTCTGGCGTGCTAAAGGAAATGGCACACAAGCTTTGGCGTGTCTGCGTCAGGCGCTCCATTCTGCCCCTCCTCAGCACAGAGACATGCCTCTGGTCAACACTGCCAACCTGCTGCTGCACTACGGCCTGCATGACGAGGCCCATGAGCTGCTGCAACAGGCCCTGCAGATCAACTGCTCAGAGGTATGCACTGACACTGACCTATAATGCAGACCGTTGAACACCCCACCTTTTTTCAGTGCAGACCACCCAATTTACACTTTAAATGATTACATAACTTGAGTGACATGCCACTCACATGGACACTCATGGAAATATTCCTCTGATGCTGTAGAAGAATTTAAATGTCAAACATACAATGGTGCAAACTAGTTAAAATATCTGGTCACATTAATTACATGATGTTTATATCGTTGACTATAACTCTGTTATTGGCCTACAGTCTGTAGCAATCAGTTCAGTCAAGTTAGACAAATTTGCTAAGTTTGATTTAGTGACTGTTCACACACTGTGTCCCATATTTACACTTGCATCACAGTACACATGCAGATAGACATTTTTGACTGGTGCATCTGACTTTTTTTTTTTTACTATCACATACCATGAGCACTTTGTTTTAGTTCCATGTTGTTCAGAACATGTTTTTTAAACTCAAGAATGAGTTGTGTTAATGTCTCTTTAAGTCAAAAGTACACTTTAGTTTTGGTGCGAACACTTAATGTATGCATACAGCCGAACACAAGCCTTTCAAAGTGTACTCAGTTTGATAGTGTGCAAATAAACACATGCACACTAGAAATTTTACTCTTGTCCAGTGGCTGCTTTATTTCTTTCTAGAAGTTAGAAGCAATAGAAAGTGTCTTTGTACTCTTTTAAACCAGAGTTGTGGATCTCTCTTAAAGACAAGCACTTGTCAACGTGGGCGTCTATTGTTGTTGCCATCTCCAGTAGTGTGGGTGTTGTTCCATCTCATCCATCTCATCTTTTTTGACTGTGAAACAATGGCCTGGGCTAGTGATGCCACCTTGTGGCCAAACTAATCAATGCAAAAATATTGTGCAAAAAAGTACACTGTTTGATTGGTTAGAAAAATCTGACCGGGCGCTTTCATATATTTCATGTCACACTCTAAAATATGCTTAGAAACTGAAGTATACCTTGGGCTTTACTCCTTTTAGCGATTGTGCAGCTGCTTTACTGTAAATGTGGTGAGCTTACTGTCAGCTTACTGCAGACTTGCAAAAACAAACGTGATTTTCTCAGGTTCTTCAATTATATATATATATGGATATAAGGGGGTATACATTTTTTCACATCATATTCTTTGGAATCGATCGCACTTTCGATTGCACTTTCGATCGCAGGTTAAATTGATAGCCCAAAGTATTATTTCACCCAAAAATGAAAATTAGCTGAAAATGTGCCCTCAGGTCATCCAAGATGTAGTAAAGTTTGTTTCTTGCTATCACTTGCTTACCAATGGATCCTCTGCAGTGAATGGGTGCCGTCAGAATGAGAGTTCAAACAGATGATAAAAACATCACAATAATCCTCAAGTAATCCACATGACTCCTGTCCATCTATTAATGTCTTGTGAAGATAGAAACTGCATGTTTGTGATAAACAAGTCCATCATTAAGACAGTCACTTCAAATTTTAGAGTCCATAATCCATAATATTGCGTTCTCCAGTGAAAAAGTCATCTCATCTGAGTCAGGAGAAAAATATGCACAGATCAAGCGCTGTTTACAAGTGAAAAAAGTTTAAAACCGTTCTAAACAAATATGTCAGTGGATTTTGATGTGAGAGGACAACGGGATGGATTTACTGAATGAAGCATTATTATGGATTATAAACTCATTGGACATTTCGGCTAGAAGAGATGGTTTAAAGTTAAAATGCCTTAATGATGGATTTGTTTATTTAAAAAATGCAGCTTTTCACTTTACAAGATGTAAATTGATGGACTGGATTTGTATTGATAACTTGTGATGTTTTTAATCAGCTGTTTGAACTCTCATTCTGACGGCACCCATTCACTGCAAAGGATCTATTGATGAGCAAGTGATGTAATGCTATATTTCTACGATCTTTTCCAATACAAGCTTATCTTAATCTTGAATGACCTCAAAACGTAAAATTTAAATTTTGGGTTAGCTATTCCTTTAATCAAAACCGAAAACTTTATTATGTGACATAACTGTATTTTGCTCTCTCTGTCTTTTTCACACCAGCCTCACACCCTGTTAAGCCTGGTCAACGTTCACCTCTCTCAGGGAAACCTGACTGGTGCTCTGGCCATGTTTCGTCGGGCCCTGACTCTCACAGTTCACTGTCCCCAGTGTCGTGCCAGCCTGCCTCTAATGCGCTGTCTGCAGTTTTACCCCTTCCTTTACCATCTCCAGCACCAGGCCTGTCCATGTAAGTAGCTTTCTCCGTAAACCTGAAGGACCCTTGCAACACTGAACCGAGAGTCCCCCCCCCTCCAGACAGCTACCCCATTTCACCTTCCTCCATCACTCACTCCTTCCTTCTCCCTGGTGTTGCAACCTCAGCGGCAGAGTGCTCAGCACTCTTTTTATAGCCCAGGCACTGTAATCTTTGAGCCAATTTTAGACTCTTTACCGTTGCATCTTCTATTCTGGGTTTGCTCCATTCTCTCTCCTGCTCCCCTTTTCTCTTCTCCTCAGCATCCTGCACTGCTCCCTTTCTCTAACTCTGCTCTCTCTCCCCTGGCACTCTTCTGAGTGAGAGAGACTTTGAAATAGCGAAATCGTGTCCTCAATAATTCAGGGCACTGAAAATAGCACAGGCTTTATTTAGATGCCGCTGCGCTCTGCAGACAAAAATGAACTCATTGTCCTCTTCTCGTTTGGGGGAACTCTTGAGCTATTGATTTTGGGATTAATATGGCAATCCCCCTTTGAACTAACACTACTCATTTATACAACAATCCGAATGGGGAATATGTCTCCAAGTAGCTTGTGTTTCTACTTTCTTCTTTAAGTTATAATTATAATGCAGTTATATTAATTTGAAAAATGTAAGTTAAGCAACATGTGAGCTAAATTCTGTTTGTGTGTATGTGTGTGTGTAGCTGGCTCTGGCTGTGAGGCAGAGGAAGACACAGAGCTGGAGGAATGGGACACGGCCAGCAGCAGCAGGCAGGAACCCTGGGACACTGATGCCATGCCTGTGTCTGCTTTAGAAGACTCTCTCCTCTTTGAGAGTAAGATTAATGATGAAGCTTATGGGGGCTTCTTTCTCTGTGTTTGATATTCACATAAGATACAGTGGACTCAGTTCAACAGTCTTGAGACTACTAGCAAAAATGCTGCTGTTTTGCATTTTTATAATGTGTATTAATAAAAAATTATAATTCAATTATTAGCATAACAATTTAAGTGAGTTCACATGCTTATTGACGCAAATGTTTATTCCATTAGTGACTTAGAAATAGCAATTAATCTGTATGTACATTCCTTAAACTGCAACAAAACACAGGACATGCGAACAAGAAACTCAGTTGAATCATTTTTTAATACAGTCACTTTCCCCATGCTTTATGGGCTTAAACATATTTATTTAATTGTAAGCCTTTACATGTTAAATTTGACAGCCCTTGTTAAGACATTTTTTACTCAAGATTTAAATAAAAAATGTGAAAAAAAGGCTCTGAGATGGTACTGTTCTGTCCTTGCTAAATTAAACATGCAGTGTAGTGAGGTCATGTGATATAGCAATATAGCACAGTACTATTTTAAAGATTTATGGTTGCATATTTTGTACTGTTTCATATTTCTTGTTGTTCCACTTGCTTTTTTTAAACAATAGCTGGCAGAATACATGCAGTACAGTAGTATTTTATTTTTTTACAAACAGCCATTGTCAGATTGCTGATGTCAATGTACATGCAATTGAATTAATTAAATCTTCTGAACAAGGACTTAATACATTGTGCTTCTAAACAAGCAGCACTCTCACAGCCTTCCTCTTGACCTTTTCTCTTGTTACTCTCTCGTCTTCTGCAGAGGTGGTGGTGGACAGCAACGGTTCAGGGGAGGCGAGTGGGCAGGACAGGGGCCGAGAGCAAAAGAATGATGGGGTGGAGGAAGAGGAGCAGGACTGGCGTCTGAGGGAAGAGCTTATAGGAGCATTTGAGGGGGCTCTGGAAATGAACGGGAAGACAGGGGACCTACGGGGCATCCGCGTGCTGAAAAACGACAGGGTCATGGGGGCGAGAGGGGGAGGACCCTGCTTCGGCAACTGTGAGGATGATGAGGCAGCTGAATGGGTACATCTCTCTGTTGAAATGTTTAAGAACATTTTGTATTTGTAATCAAGGAGAATTTAACACTTTCCCATTCTCTTCATTTCTTCAGATAACATTCCAGGTGAAACGTGTGAAAAAAACAAAAACTGATACCTCGGAGGGCTGGGTGGGAGAAGGAGATGTTCATCAGGGTGAACCAACAGCAAGTAACTCCATCCTTGAGATCAGTGGGCCCACAATCCCCTCACCTGGACCCTCAGGTGCTGAGAATGAACTGGCTTCCTACAAGACATGCTTTTCAACACAGAGCAGTGTTATTTAGTATTGTTTTTACAGTTATAGTATTTGATAATATTTTAACTTTTATTTTTATATTCAAAGTTTTATATTCATATTTTTTAGTAAATATTTTAGTTTTGGTAAAATTAGCAGTTTAAATATATTTCTGTTTAACTTATTTTCATTTCCAGTTTTATTTATCATTTTTATTTTCAGTTTTATTTTTAGTCATTTTAGTTCAGCTTAACTAACTTCATTTCAGTTTATTTCAGACAACATTTTAAGTTTTATTTTATTTCAGTTAACAAAAATAATTGTAATATTTAACGACACTGACACAGTGATGATTCTACTAGTACTGTAGCTGCAAAAGGCATCATGACATCATAAAAAAAATGTCATTTGTCATCAAAATGTCATAAAAAAAAAACATTTTGTGTTTTTAGAGAGATGGAAGGACTACAGCAGTCTGGGTTGGCCCGGTCCAGAGGAATGTCAGCGCACGCGTCGTGTGGACCTCACACATGTGGCTAGTACCTGGCTGGCTGTGTCTGCCAAGAACATAGAGTAGGATATCATTCTTAGAGTCATTCTGTTGGAATGCTTTCATAGTGGGCTCTTTTTTTCACTAACGTATGATTCTGAACTCCTCACAGTATCACAGAGCATATAGACTTTGCCACTCCGCTTCAGGAGCCAGCAGTGGAGCCGGTGTGCAATGCCAATCTCCCTGCCAGTATGCACACACTGGACCATCTGAGTGGAGTGGCCAACCGCGGAGGCATTCACTATACTGGGGAGAGTCAGCTCAGAGAGGTGCTTTTTATATCACCTGTTTACAGCTGTGATGATTCTGCTGATCTCAAAAGTTCTGATGTTTGTGAATGGCTGTTTTGTCTCATCTCACCCTCATTCTTCTGTCACAGGTGTTGCAGAATCTGGGAAAAGATACATTTCCCTCGCAGTCTTTTGAACAAGTGGGAACACGTATTGCTAAGGTGCTGGAAAAGGTGAGTGTTGTCCGTTGTGACTACTAGTGCAGTCACATGCACTTTAAAAGTTGCCTTCAGTTGGGTGAAAGCAGTTTGTCTTTTTATAATGTCATGTAAATTATTTAAAGCAATTTGTCTTTTTAAAATGTCATGTAAATGCTTTAGTCTGAATGAAATTGTACCAGTCTGGTTTTTGCCAAGTCAGACCTGCATTTCTCTTTAAAAGTTTGGGATTGGTAAGATTTTGTAATGTTTTTATGCTCATCAAGTTTGCATTTATTTGTTTAAAAAATATAGTAGAAAAAGTATTATTGTGAAATGTCACAAAAAAAAATCTAATTTAATATATTTTAAAATGTAATTATTCCTGTTGTGGCAAAGCTGCATTTTCAGCAGCCATTAATTCCAGTCTTCAGTGTCACATGATCATTCAGAAATCATTCTAAAATGATGATTTGGTGCTCTGTGTTGATTATTAGCAATGTTGAAAACAGTTGTGCTGTTTAATATTTTTGTGCAAACCATGATACTTTCTTCAGGATTCTTTGATAAATATAAAATTCAAAAGAACAGCACTTACTTGAAATGATCTTATAATAATATCATAAATGTCTTTACTGTCTCTTTTGATCAGTTTAGTGCATCTGTGCCGAATATATATTTTTTGATCTCTTTCAAAAAAAAAAAAAAAACGTACTTACTGACCCCAATCTTTTAAAAGGTGTTGTAGATAATGTGATTGGCTTTATCCGTGATGTTAATCGGACTAAAGTTATATCAACTAAATTTGATTAAAATTGCATCCACCTTATTTTTAACTTAAGTGTGGGTGTGGTCATATTTAACTTGAATGTGCGAGGCTTCTGTGTGATTTGCTTCCAGTTATTTTACCAGTATAAAAACTGTCCATTATGCTGTATTTATCATATTAATTCATTATCTGAATAATAAACATACTGATTTGTAGCACAAACAGTTTTACAGTTCACTGCCCTTTGCATTTATTTACCTCTAGCAGCTAATGAATTGGAAGTTTTGCACATTCAAAGAAAATAGCTTGCTTCCGTGTTGCAAAATAAGGTGGATACCAGGACCGACAGAGAGGACTGTAGCTCTACTACGCAAAAACCCAAACTGCTCGATTATAACTGTGTGTAAACATAATTTATGACTGTTTTTGTATTTCTAGCTGAGAACAACTCTATGGAAAATGTGTCAGTGAAAAAGAGTAATAGATTTTGTTACATTTCATGATCTGGGTGATTTGATGTTCTTTAGAATCAGACATCCTGGGTTCTGTCCAGCATGGCAGCATTGTACTGGAGGGTGAAAGGTCAGGGAAAGCGAGCCATCGACTGCCTCCGCCAGGCTCTGAACTACGCTCCTCACCATATGAAGGTTCTGCTCATTCCCCTATTACAATTCTTCTCCGTTGGTTGGCTTGTACAGACGCAAACCTTACTGCATGATATAAATGTTTGTTTCTGTTCTGTTAGGATGTGCCTCTCATCAGCCTTGCCAACATCTTCCAAAATGCGAGGCTGTGGGAGGACGCCCTGACTGTGGCACGCATGGCAGTGGAAATTGCTCCTCACTTTGTGGTTAACCATTTTACTCTGGCAAACGTTTATATAGCTATGGTAAGTGATTTTTCTGAGACTCTCATAGTCTTCTGAAGGATTTTATTGACGTTAAGTGATGACTGTTTTTGCTTAATATGTCTTCATAGGAGGAGTTCGAGAAGGCCATGCATTGGTATGAATCGACTCTAAAACTCCAGCCAGAATTTGGGCCAGCCAAAGATCGTCTGCGCACCATCCAGTGCTACCTCCTCTCCAAGAGGGACAGGCGAGCTCCATGAGGACACAACACACACACGCACGCACAAACGTTAACATTAACATGCTCCTTAATCTTATCTATCAGTGAGGAACACTGTTTGTTGTCTTAATTTCATGAATATAGACCATATCATTACTGTCTATAAGGTTTTCAGTTGAGCTATGAAAACAGTTTCCCTTTTTTCCGGTCTTTATGAAAATTTTATGATGTTGTTTTATGGCTAAAGGGTTGTTTATTTCTATAAAACATCTTGATATTCCTACAAAGGGATATTTTTTTCTGGGGTCAAGATTCAATGTTTGAATATGCCAGACTGTATTTGAATGCTTTTATTTTTAACAGTAACACCAAAAATACAATGCATCTTTTAGTCTCACCATATCCATATACCCCTCTCTTTCAGCAGTAGCTGCTAGGTGTATAAAGGGTGTCTTAAAATCTTATTCAGAATACAGATTGTTAAAAGAAACACTATAGTCCTTTCCTTTACACAGCTGTTCTCAGATTTAGTTATGCCTAATGGTAACAGTTCAGGCTGTTGTATGTTCAAATGATTTCCTTGTATCTGCCATGAGAGCAGGCTGAAGCATCTTGTACATCCTTTTTTAAGCTAAAAATATAAAATGCTGCAAACATGTGGAGAGGAGAGTTTCTCCTGATGGTTTACTGTACAGCTCTAAATCTTGGTTGTTATAGCTGATATGGAATAAATCATTAGTGTTCAGGCTGAAGACAGATCCACTGCAAATATTTAAGCTAAGAAAACATCAATAACAAAAATGTGGTTTTGAGTTTTTAACCGATGTATTTTCCTTTAAGTTTTAAAAGGGACATTTAAAATAAGATAATTTTGCTCAAAGTTCAAATGTACTTCCATTTACTTTACTTTGCACAGCTGAGCTGTTGACTCTAAGATTTTATCTGTACTGTTGTATTTAATATTTAGAAAGTCAAGATAAACATTTTTGTGTCCGATGTCTATATGAAAACATACAAGTTCCTCAGAAATTAAAGTGGACATGGTTTTTAAAGACATTTTTAATGATTGTTTACTGATTAATTAAACTTGAATCACAGTTCAGAACTGTTTAGCATAAAGGATAATATCATTCATGCTACTCTCTCTTTTAAAGTGTTCCAACAACCTTGTGAATGGGCCACATAAAAAAAAAATCACCAAATCGACCCCGTTGAAAAAAGTTTAAATGTATAAAAATGGTAGTTGGGATGCAGGATAGATATGTTGTAAATATGTTTTACTTTTTAAAATGTTTGCAGGCTAATTTAAATTTTCTGTAGAGGTTGATGCTATACTTTATGCTATCCTGAGTTTGACCACAAGGTGGCTGTGAAGCCTCATAACATCCAACACATAAAGCCATGCCATGATAATACACATACAAACGTACATAGGTCATTTTTGATACGTACTATGAGATAAAATGTACAGTATAATGTAACATTTTTTTTTAAATCACATTCATCCATGTTAATGTCTATCGATTTATAATTAACAGTCATAGGTTAATTGTTCATATATGCACTCTAAAGTTCTCACTTCTCAATAATCAAATAAATAGGTGTTTACTAGATCAAAATATAATCATGATTATTTATACAGAATATTTAGGTTGTTTTTGCTACTACGAAATATACTAGCAGCTGGACTTTATAAAAATAGCCCTCAGTAGATTTTGCTTGACACTTCAGTTGTAACACCAAGTCTAGTTGAACGCCACACTTATAGGAGAGCCCTCACCAGTCCATCCCCATAAAATCCGTTTTACCCAGAGCCCCGCCCCCGCTCTTTGTCAGCTGAATTAATTTGATACTATTTTTAAATTTCTGCGTTTCCCAGGGAAACCTAATGACGCAATGACGTCAGTGCGGGTCAACAGCACAGTGATAGGCTGGTGGCGGGGAAAGCAGTGCCCTCCACAACAGTAATGACTGCTGTATCTAAGAAGCCCTGGTGTCCATTAAATTAAGCATATAGAGTATATATATATATATATATATATATATATATGATATACTCTCTCTCTCTCTCTCTCTCTCTCTCTCTATATATATATAAATATATTTATTTATATACATAAACATGTTTTCATACACATACACTACAGTCTGCTTTACTACACAAACTCGTGGTTAAACACTAATAATAAAATGATATTTTGTTAGCAAATTTACGTAAATTCTTACCGTGAATGTGAAGATCTTCCACTCACAACGTCGCATTCTCGTGTCTGTCTATGCAAAAAAAGTTGGCGCGATGCCAGCTCCTTTAACTTCTCAATAATCAATTTCATCCGCCACCCCCAAATTCATTGGGAACGCTGATACTTTAGGTATTTCTCTTCATTCAAAAAAAGCGAGTGAGCTCATTCACGCAGTGAGCACTGTGGTCCAAATGCAGGCGCACGTCTGTATACTCCGTACTAGATTCCTCTCAGAACACTATGCGAACATCACTTCTCACTTCGATGAACGAGAACATGTATACGGTGAGTGAGATTTGAGTTCTCAACTCATTTGGAACTTGAATTTTGACTTCTGATCGCTTTTAAAGTGATCAGACATTGATAACTCTACAGAGGTTGATTGCTTGTGGTTGGATTGCACAGGCATTTGGAGTATAGGCTACAGAGTCCAGATCAAAACAAGATCGAAAGATGCTACTTTTGTGTGTCTTGCAGGATTACAGAGAAGCGCACGTGCCACTTAGAGTCTCACGCCTCAGTTTGTAGGCTATTTGTGCGTTGTATTGAGTCTTTTTATTACTTTTTATTTATCTCGATACTTCGCTGAGTGTTATAATAGTAGCAGATTAGTTGTCCTTGATATTATGCGGCTCTTTCACAACTTTAAATTCACTACTGTGATGTTCTCAAAGCGTGTTGTTCTCATTGTTGCCGAGTGGTCACGATTCGCGCAGTTGTAACATATGAATCGCACTGACATCTCCGGTACCCTTTTAGCTTCTGTAATGCTTCTACGTTTTAAAAAGAGCAAAAAAAACAGATGGACTAATGAAACAAGACTTTTTTTCATGAAGTCAGTCGTGTTCCTCCTAACTTGAGTTGCAGCAGATGAGGAACGTGCGAGCCATTTTCAAAACTGTAGGTCTAAGTCACTGAATATGCAACCTGGACTGTCTAGACCGCCCCAACTCTGTCCTGCTGTACCCAGTAAGAACAAAGAAAGGACTAAAGTAAGAATCTGTTCCCTTATCAGTTGAAATGAGTTGAGGGCGGGTTTCAGCACCACGGACAGCGACTCCACGGCTTACTCGGGCCTCAGCTCGAACGCGTGCGTCGCACTACATTTCACGCGAAACAGTATGAAATATGTAGCAACAAGTCCACTGCTGCATGAACGCAATGGCACCATGGAATACGTATTTTCATCGCCGTTGATCATCTTGAAAATATTTAGCCTGCATTTCCACTTTTTTCTATATATAGTCTACTATCTTTTTGCGTGTTGCGTCAGGGTTCTTGCAAGGACCGAGTAACCAGATTATATGAATAACCCTATTATATGATTGACTGTGTTGGGTTTTATTGTATAAAGTCTGGTTAGGATTAGAAAATATATTTTTTTGGTCCATCGGTTTTCAAGAGTTTGATCATTGTGTCCATTCTTGTTCTTACACTGACATTGTTTATGTGGTTGGTGTAAGGAGGTTGTGTGATTCTCCTCCTGCTATAAATCATGTTTACATTTTTGCCTCAAGCGTTTTTCATACTATCGCCTTAAATGATAAAACAGCCACCGAATCCAGCAGTAATGCCTTTCATTAAGGCCTCGACGAAAGGAGGGGAGTATGAACGTGACGTCAATGCAACTGACGCAGCTTTGGATAAAGGAGGAAACAGAAAATACTTATTTTCCATATATACATAATTGCATTACAGGAGTTTGTCTATGATTGTATCTGTCACTGGTAATATCGTTTTGATGCAAGTAATTGGGGCGTAACACTTGCTCAAATCAGTTGAGCAGTCCATCAAAAAAACAGAAACGAATCCGCATCCATTCGAATAAAATCAGAAATTACGATTCGTTTTTTTTTCTAGAGGGTGCCATGTCTCCATACTCGAGCGTCACGATCCTTTACGCAAACCGCGTTAGAGAGTATATGTGAACGCGCATGTCACGGTGATCACGTACAGTTCCTCTGAGGAGCATTTGTGAGTGCCTTTTTTCTCCAAGTGCTCTAAAAATAGTAACAGCTTGATCCAGAAATAGACAGGGGTATCACCCTCATATGCAGCCTTCGTTTTGAGGCATAAAAACACACCAGGACGGCACGTTATGTGCTCTCGTTGTGTCCTTGAGATATTCCCTTGTGTTATTATTGAACGTTTCGTTCAGTACTGACACAATGTATTCATCTCATCGAGGGCTCCCTCCACCGGCGAGACCTCTCGCTCTCCTGGTGACCTCGGTTGCATGTTCTGGATTGAAATACTGTATGTATTTATGGACGGTTTTGTATGGTCACTTAATTCTGCAAGCGTAGGATTAGTTATCGCATGCATCATGTCAGGGAATCACCCCGTTCGCGTTCAGTGAATGAAGCTGGAGGTGGATCACACTGGAGCTTGCTTTATTCACGAAAACTCTCAAATACGAAAACAAAGATTGCCTATAAATGAACTATTGTTATCAGTCGTGGCTGCTATCACATGATGAAGCCTCCATAATGTAGAGGAGCTGTCCGCCATCAGTGGTGCTGAAATCCGTCGACTTGCACTCACAACGTTGCAGCTATAGTGTCCAGTCCAAAAGGGCCAGTCGTTACAAAAAGTACTAAGAAAGACGATTCACTCTAGACCTTTACCAATTAATAAAACTGCCCTTTCATGTCCTTCATCATGTGGAAATTGTTGTAGGCAGAGTGTTTCCTGGTCTTTACAGCCTATTCTACATGAAGACTGCTTTTGTGAATATGACCATTTCCTCAATAATTCAGTATATCACATATGTTTAATAATTCATTCCCTGCACGTGATCCTGAGGTTAGTCTGGTAACCCTACTGAAAACATCATCTTAAACCAGCTTAAGATAATTTGCTGGTCTTAAACCTGACTAGGCTGATTGAGATGGTCTCCCACCCCGATGAAAAACTCAAACCAGCTTGTGCATCCCTCTAGCAAGGACCTATGAGAAACCATTGAACCTCAAGATCACGTAAATGGTGACACCTTAGATGTTTTTTTTTAAGGAAAAGCCCTCAATGATTTGTGTATAAGCCAAAGCATCAAAATAAGCAACGCTGATTTGTAAACAATCCGGTTTGTTTATAGACCCAAATGCGTGGTCTTTGTGAAACCAGCTCGTAGCTGTAAAATCTCGGTCATACATATGGTTTATGTTCATCACTTCAAAGACCAATCAATTCTTCACGTTTGCCAAACGTATGAAGTGGGTAAGAGCCCAGCGCTTCTTAGTAATTCATTTTTGGCGTGCGGTTTCATCGGAAACAGCACAGATTGGCGAGTCGTGACTGCTAAAGTGAGTAATGCGCGTCGGCTGCGTCAGTAGGGGCAAAGCGCTGGGTGCCGGAGACAGATGGAGAAAATCGTGACTGACTGGAGACTTCCACAAATGAAACCACAACCTCATCATGTCTCCTCGAGAGCGCTATCTGTTAAGATTAGACTTAAATGTTAGGGTCTCGCTGTTCTCCCCTGTCACTCTCAGTCCTGACCTTGGAATCCGGAGGCAATTCTACACATTCAGAGAAAAGCGAGCGCAGGGCTCTCTGGTTAGAGAGTTTATGTGTGCGTGTGTGCTCGTGAGGACGAGGTTATTTTATGGTTGTGTGTGTGTGTGTGTGTGTGTGTGTGTGTGTGCGTGCGTGCGTGAGTGAGTGCGAGAGATGTATGGGGTATCCAAATATAGCCAGACTCAGAGAATGATGTTCATTATTTTAT